TGTATGTTTCAATGTCCATATATCTACCACTGATTTTGCCATGCGTTGCAGTGTACTTGTCAGTTGTATGTTTCGATGTCCATATATCTACCACTGATTTTGCCATGCGTTGTGTGTACTTGTCAGTTGTATGTTTCGATGTCCATATATCTATCACTGATTTTGCCATGCATTGTGTGTACTTGTCAGTTGTATATTTCGATGTCCATATATCTACCACTGATTTTGCCATGTGTTGCAGTGTACTTGTCAGTTGTATGTTTCGATGTCCATATATCTACCACCGATTTTGCCATGTGTTGCAGTGTACTTGTCAGTTTCGATGTCCATATATCTATCACTGATTTTGCCATGTGTTGCAGTGTACTTGTCAGTTGTATGTTTCGATGTCCATATATCTACCACCGATTTTGCCATGTGTTGCAGTGTACTTGTCAGTTTCGATGTCCATATATCTATCACTGATTTTGCCATGTATTGCAGTGTACTTGTCAGTTGTATGTTTCAATGTCCATATATCTACCACTGATTTTGCCATGTGTTGCAGTGTACTTGTCAGTTGTATGCTTCGATGTCCATAAATCTACCACTGATTTTGCCATGTGTTGCAGTGTACTTGTCAGTTGTATGTTTCGATGTCCATATATCTACCACTGAATTTGCCGTGCGTTGTGTGTACTTGTCAGTTGTATGTTTCAATGTCCATATATCTATCCCTGATTTTGCCATGTGTTGCAGTGTACTTGTTAGTTGTATGTTTCGATGTCCATATATCTATCACTGATTTTGCCATGTATTGCAGTGTACTTGTCAGTTGTATGTTTCGATGCCCATATATCTACCACTGATTTTGCCATGCGTTGTGTGTACTTGTCAGTTGTATGTTTCGATGTCCATATATCTATCACTGATTTTGCCATGTATTGCAGTGTACTTGTCAGTTGTATGTTTCGATGTCCATATATCTACCACTGATTTTGCCATGTGTTGCAGTGTACTTGTCAGTTTCGATGTCCATATATCTATCCCTGATTTTGCCATGTGTTGCAGTGTACTTGTCAGTTGTATGTTTCAATGTCCATATATCTATCCCTGATTTTGCCATGTGTTGCAGTGTACTTGTTAGTTGTATGTTTCAATGTCCATATATCTATCCACTGATTTTGCCATGCGTTGTGTGTACTTGTCAGTTGTATGTTTCGATGTCCATATATCTACCACTGATTTTGCCATGCGTTGCAGTGTACTTGTCAGTTGTATGTTTCGATGTCCATATATCTATCACTGATTTTGCCGTGCGTTGTGTGTACTTGTCAGTTGTATGTTTCGATGTCCATATATCTATCACTGATTTTGCCATGCATTGTGTGTACTTGTCAGTTGTATATTTCGATGTCCATATATCTATCACTGATTTTGCCATGTGTTGCAGTGTACTTGTCAGTTGTATGTTTCAATGTCCATATATCTACCACTGATTTTGCCATGCGTTGTGTGTACTTGTCAGTTGTATGTTTCGATGTCCATATATCTATCACTGATTTTGCCATGCATTGTGTGTACTTGTCAGTTGTATGTTTCGATGTCCATATATCTACCACTGATTTTGCCATGTGTTGCAGTGTACTTGTCAGTTGTATGTTTCGATGTCCATATATCTATCCCTGATTTTGCCATGTGTTGCAGTGTACTTGTCAGTTGTATGTTTCGATGTCCATATATCTATCCCTGATTTTGCCATGCGTTGCAGTGTACTTGTCAGTTGTATGTTTCGATGCCCATATATCTACCACTGATGTTGCCATGCGTTGCAGTGTACTTGTCAGTTGTATGTTTCGATGTCCATACATCTACTACTGCTATTTCCATAAGTTGCAGTGTACTTGTCACAGTTCTATGATAAAAACGACACATAGTAAAGAAGCATAAAAGTCAATGTTTAATAATTAAAATACCAACAAATTGGCAAGACTTATATATAATGTTAAATATGTGTTCATATATGGAAAATTCTGCCATGACATCTCAAAATATACCCTCTTGGGTAGATAAACGCAAAAGTTAACACAATAAAACCACCATTGCATGAATTAATTCCTTAGCTGGACTATTATTTGTTGCCACTGGTGAAAAGATTATGATTTGTAGGTTTAAGATCTATAACCCACAAATCATAATCGTTGCATCTGTGTCAGCCAAAGTAACTTAACCGGAACTCACTGTGTATCTATTTAATTGCGACATATTTGTCAGACAAAAAGTAACGTACCTACAATTACCATATCTGGAAGACAATCAGATAGTGAATTTACATTATTAAGCGACCTGAGTAACTGTATTGAAAATGACCCTGTTAGAATGTATTGGTGTGAAGAGGAAATAACCCAACAAATACAAATTTATGAAAACAAAACAACTAGAATAAAAGCAAAAATACATTATACAAAACATATTCAGTGAAAGAATGTTACCCCAAGGCATACAACTGTGAGGTGATGGCAAGTGTTTTAAAGAGAAGGAGAACATCCTGCTCCAAATGTTACATCTGCCATATATCATAAATAAGGTTTAAATGAGGAAAGTGAAATTGACACAATCTGAGATCTGTGTAACATTGTAACAAGCTCATTATATCTGCCAAAAGAACATGTTGATTGATGCATGTTATAAACGTTATTCAAGACACTTAAATGAAAATGACATTTGTATAGCTAGTAGGGAAGTGGTAAACACAGAAACAATACCAACAGGAATTTGTTCAAAGAATATATGCATTATGGTTCATATATCATTTTCTCACTGATTTAAACATGTATTGCAATGTATTCAGTTGTATTGGTGTAGTCTATTGTGTTCTTGGATAAATGTTTGTTATTTGAATTGGGTCAGATGGTATTTTTTACAAACAGAAGAAATAGCAAAATAGTTCTAAAACTATGCATAATGTAGAGCTACAGATTCAAACTACAGGTTCTTTAAGCACAAACTACCCTGTGATAAAACATTGTATGGCATTTAAAACAATGTCAACTAAGGCACCATTGAAACTGACAAACGTTCTAGCCAAGACAAATAATTTTGCTGGAATATATTACTGGAATTTTATCAGTATTTTAAACAAAATATTATCTCATTGTCTTATAAACAAATGAAGCAAGCATAATATTAAACATGTAATTGAAATATCCACTAAGGCACTTCAATAATTACTATATCATCAAACTTCACCAATCAAACATCGATTTTGAATAGAGATACCAAACG